GGACAAAGACTATGTTAAAGATCGTGTTTGCAAGCAAGACAACAAAGGAGAAGATTCTAACAAGGCAGAGCCAACTGCAATATATGGGAGAATTCAAAAAAGTATTCCTCCAGAGGGATATGACGAGGGAAGAGAGGGCCATGGCGGCAGAAGCAAGGATGAAGTGCAGGGCAAGAGGAGAAAACTAGGAAATCCCAACACAACATCGCCAGAGGTGAGGTGGGGGTGTGGGGGGGAGGGGGGCACCCACATCCAGGAACCCAGTAACACCAGATGGAAGGGCAACTCTACCACCCTCCTCTGCATAGAATCCACCCATACCCAAAACCCTTCCTGCCCCCACTCAAATGCACAGCCAACTTCCCCCCCCCTTCACCCCATTCCCACCAAACTACCCCACTCCAACTGCCACCATGTCCCCCCTCCCCTTTCATCCCATACCCTCCTCGTCCTCCCTCCCCCTTCATCCCATTTTCTCCCTGTCCCCCCTTCACTTGATCCCCCACACCCCTCACTCCAGTATCCTCTGAGACCCTCCTATCCACCTCACAAATCCTCACACCCATGGAACAGCTTCCCCCATCAGCAGAACGTTCGCCAAGAAGAGGAAATGAGAAGGGACAGAGGAAAGTGAGTCTGAAGGCAATGTACATTCACATAGATGGGATTAGAAATAAAACAAATAAACTTGGAGAATGGGTAGTAGAAGAAACCCCAGACATAATAGCACTCAAGGAAACGAAACGGACGAAAAACATAACAAATGCAGTGTTTCCACAGGACTATTATGTTGTGAGGAGAGAGAGAAGAAAGAGGAGGTGATAGTGTAGATATACTAGTAAAAAAAGGCTGGGATTTTGAGATGTCTATTCAGGGCTGTGAAGGTTTTAGTGACTACATATTAGGTACCATAACAACTGGATGACAAAAAAATTATAGTCGTAGTCATATATAATCCACCACCACATGACAGAAGGCCCAGAGAGGAATATGATAGAAAGAACATGGCCACCATTAACATAATAGAGAAAACAGCTTCTGTTGCTAGCAGGAATGGATCTGGACTACTAATCATGCGAGACTTCAACCACGGGAAGATAGATTGGGAGAGCAGAGACCCGCATGGAGGACAAGATACATGGAGAGCTTAGCTGCTGGACGTGGCAACAAGAAACTTTCTAAGCCAGCACATCAAGGAACCAACAAGAATGAGAGAGGAAGATGAACCAGCCATGCTTGATCTGATATTTACCCTAAATGAGTGGGATGTAAGGGAAGTTAAGTTGGAAGCACCCTTCGGAATGAGTGATCACAGTGTATTGATCTTTGAGTAACTGGAAGAACTAGGATTTTTCTCCCCCGAAAATGGACTAGGAAACAAAAGGCTGGCATACCGAAAGGGGAATTATGAGGAGATAAGATGTTTCCTTAGGGATATACCTTGGGACACAGACCTCAGAGCTAAGTCTGTACAAGATATGATAGACTATTTCACCCAAAAGTGTCAGGAGCCAGTAAACAGGTTTATCCCGGCCCACAAGGAAAAATCCGAGAAGCAAAAGTAGAATCCATGGTTTAATAGGGCATGTATAGAAGAAAAGGAATTGAACAAAAGAGCGTGGAGGAACTTCCGGAATAACAGAACACCAGAAAGCAGAGAGAGATACCAGAGAACCAAGAATGAGTATATTAGTGTGAGAAGAGAAGCAGAAAAAAATTATGAAAATTATATAGCAAACAAAGCCAAGACCGAACCAAAGCTACTCTACAGTCATATCAGAAGGAAAACAACAGTGAAAGAACAGGTAATGAAACTTAGAACAGGCGACGACAGGTATACAGAGAAAGAAAGAGATGTGTGAAGAAATCAACAAGAGGTTCCAGGAGGTCTTCACAATAGAACAAGGTTAGATCACTGAACTAGGAGAGGAGGAAGTAAACCCGACGGCCTTGGAAGGGTTCGAAATTACGAGAGATGAGGTCAGGAGACAGCTGTTGGATCTGGATGTGAAAAAGCTGTTGGTCCAGAAGGGATCTCGCCTTGGGTACTGAAAAAGTGTGCAGAGACACTATGCTTGCCACTCTCCATAGTGTATAGTAGGTCACTGGAGACGGGAGACCTACCAGAAATATGGAAGACGGCGAATGTGGTCGCAATATACGAAAAGAGTGACAGACAAGAGGCATTGAACTACAGGCCAGTGTCCTTGACTTGTATACCATGCATGGTGATGGAGAAGATCGTGAGAAAAAAACATAGTAACACATCTGGAGAGAAGGGACTTCGTGACAAATCGCCAACATGGATTCAGGGAGGGTAAATCTTGCCTGACTGGCTTAATAGAATTCTACGACCAGGTGACACAGATTAAGCAAGAAAGAGAAGGCTGGGCAGACTGCATTTTCTTGGATTGTCGGAAAGCCTTTGACACAGTACCACATAAGAGGCTGGTACATAAGCTGGAAAGACAGGCAGGTGTAGCTGGTAAGGTGTTCCATTGGATAACCTAAGCAATAGGAAGCAGAGAGTTACGGTGAGGGGTGAGACCTCAGATTGGCGTGAAGTCACCAGTGGAGTCCCACAGGGCTCTGTACTCGGTCCTATCCTGTTACTGATATACTTAAATGATCTCCCGGAGGGTGTAGATTCATTTCTCTCAATGTTTACTGACGACAAAATTATATGAAGGATTAAGACAGATGAGGTCTGTTTAAGGCTTCAAGAAGACCTAAACAAGCTGAAGGAATGATCGAACAAATGGTTATTAGAGTTTAACCCAAGCAAATGTAATGAAGATTGGTATAGGGAGCAGGAGACCAGACACAAGGTATCATCTGGGAGATGAAATTATTCAAGAGTCAGAGAGAGAAAAAGATTTGGGGGTTGATATCACGCCAGACCTGTCTCCTGCAGCCCCATATCAAGAGGATAACATCACCGACATGTGCCAGGTTGGCCAACATAAGAACGGCATTCAGAAACTTGTGTAAGGAATCATTCAGAACTTTGTATACCATATATGTCAGGCCAATCCTGGAGTATGCAGCCCCAGTATGGAGTCCATATCTAGTGAAGGATAAGACTAAACTGAAAAAGGCTCAAATGTTTGCCACCAGACTAGAACTCGAGCTGAGAGGTATGAGCTACGGGGAGAGACTACGGGAATTAAACCTCACGTCGCTGGAAGACAGAAGAGTTAGGGGGGGACATGATCACCGCATTCAAGAATCTCAAAGGAATTGATTGGGTAGATAAAGACAGGCTATTTAACACAAGTGGCACACGCACTAGGGGACACAGTTTGAAACTGAATGCCCAAATGAGCCACGGAGATATTAGAAAGAACTTTTTTTTGTGTCAGTGTGGTTGACAAATGGAATGCATTAGGAAGTGATGTGGTGGAGGCTGACACCATACTCAGTTTCAAGTGTAGATATGATAGAGCCCAGTAGGCTCAGGAACCTGTACATCTATTGATTGACGGTTGAGAGGCGGGACCAAAGAGCTAGAGCTCAACCCCCTCAAGCACAAATAGGTGAGTACACACACACACACACACACACACACAATGGCGAAATACTAAAGAAATTGTTCACGACTTTTGTTAGGCCAAAGCTAGAATATTCAGCGGTTGAGTGGTAACCATATCATAAGAAGCACATCAGCAAACTGGAAAAGGTGCAAAGACATGCTACTGAGTTGCTCCCAGAACTGAAGGGCAAGAGCTACGAGGAGAGGTTAGAGGCATTAAATATGCCAAAACTAGAAGACAGAAGAAAAAGAGGTGATATGATCACTACGTACAAAATAGTAACAATACTTGATAAAATCGATAGGGAAGATTTCCTGAGACCTGGAACTTCAAGAACAAGAGGTCATAAATTTAAACTAGCTAAACACAGATGCCGAAGAAATATAAGAAAATTCATTTTCGCAAACAGAGTGGTAGACGGTTGGAACAAGTTAGGTGAGAAGAAAGGTGGAGGCCAAGACCGTCAGTAGTTTCAAAGCGTTATATAACAAAGAGTGCTGGGAAGACGGGACACCACGAGAGTAGCTCTCATCCTGTAACTACACTTAGGTAATTACACACACCAGTCTGGTGGCAAAGGTTTGTCTGGTGACAAAGGTTTGCCACCAGATTAGTACCAAAACAGAGGCATATGAGCGACGAGGAGAGACTATGGGAATTAAACCTCACGTCGCTGGAAGACAAAAGAGTTAGGGGGGACATGATCACCACATTCAAGATTCTGAAGGGAATTGATAGGGTAGATAAAGACAGGCTAATTAACACAAGGGGCACACGCACTAGGGGACACAGGTGGAAATTGAGTGCCCATATGAGCCATACAGACGTTAGAAAGATTTTTGTTTCTGTCAGTAGTAGACAAATGGAATGCATTAGGCAGTGATGTAGTAGAGGCTGACTCCATACACAGCTTCAGGTGTAGATATGATAGAGCCCAGTAGGCTCAGGAACCTGTACATTAGTTGATTGACAGTTGAGAGGCGGGACCAAAGAGCCAGAGTTCAACCCCCGCAAGCACAACTAAGTAAGTACAACTAGGTAATTACACACACATATTCATGTGACCTTCCCATCAATCTCTAACATGTTTATATTTATACATGCTTAAAATATTCATATAATAAAGGTGATCGTGTTCATTACTGAACACTGACTTCCCGCCAGGTTCTTCTTGTCTATTCTCACCATAGTTGTTAACGCATGACACAATCATTATTTATAACATTCTCACCAACATCAACTTGAAAGGTTCGTCCCAAACAAAACTGTCTTGAGGACTCCACTGATGTGATAAACGAATTCCCTCATGTCTTCTGCATCACTGTGAGTAATATTATGCTGAGGCTGAGGAACACAGCAACACTCACAGCTGTCGTCGTCAGCACAGTCAGCCAAGACACAACACAGCAACACTCACAGCTGTCGTCGTCAGCACAGTCAGACCACACACAACACAGCAACACTCACAGTTCAGCTCGTCAGCGTGGGTGTCGGCACAGTCAGGCCAGCCATCACACCAGAAGAATCTGTGGACCCGTCTCCTGGAGGCGCACACGACGAAGTCCTCTGTGAGGGAGAGAGGGAGTGTGGTTATGCCTTCTGTGAGGGAGAGGGGGGGAGTGTGGTTATGCCCTCTGTGAGGGAGAGAGGGGGAGTGTGGTTATGCCCTCTGTGAGGGAGAGGGGGGGAGTGTGGTTATGCCCTCTGTGAGGGAGAGGGGGGGGAGTGTGGTTATGCCCTCTGTGAGGGAGAGGGGGGGAGTGTGGTTATGCCCTCTGTGAGGGAGAGGGGGGGAGTGTGGTTATGCCCTCTGTGAGGGAGAGAGGGGGAGTGTGGTTATGCCCTCTGTGAGGGAGATGGGGGAAGTGTGGTTATGCCCTCTGTGAGGGAGAGAGGGAGTGTGGTTATGCCCTCTGTGAGGGAGAGAGGGAGTGTGGTTATGCCCTCTGTAAGGGAGAGAGGGGGAGTGTGGTTATGCCCTCTGTGAGGGAGAGAGAGTGTGGTTATGCCCTCTGTGGGGAGAGAGGGAGTGTGGTTATGCCCTCTGTGGGGAGAGAGGGAGTGTGGTTATGCCTTCTGTGAGGGAGAGGAGTGTGGTTATGCCTTCTGTAAGGAGAGAGGGAGTGTGGTTATGCCTTCTGTGAGGGAGAGGAGTGTGGTTATGCCTTCTGTGGGGAGAGAGGGAGTGTGGTTATGCCTTCTGTGAGGGAGAGAAGGAGTGTGGTTATGCCCTCTGTGAGGGAGAGAGGGAGTGTGGTTATGCCCTCTGTGGGGGAGAGAGGGAGTGTGGTTATGCCCTCTGTGAGGGAGAGGGGGAGTGTGGTTAGGCCCTCTGTGAGGGAGAGAAGGAGTGTGGTTATGCCCTCTGTACTCATTTATTTGTACTCAGCTAGTTGTGCTTGCGGGGGTTGAGCTCTGGCTCTTTGGTCCCGCCTCTCTAGTGTCAATCAACTCATATACAGATTCCTGAGCCAACTGGGCTCTATCATAACTACATTGAAACTGTGTTCGGCGTCAGCCTCCACCACATCACTGCCTAATGCATTCCATCTGTTAACTACTCTGACACTTAAAAAGTTCTTACTAACGTCCATGTGGCTCATTTGGATACTCAGTTTCCACCTGTGTCCCCTTGTTCGTGTGCCACCCGTGTTAAATTGTTTATCTACCCAGCCAATTCCTCTGAGAATTTTATAGGTGACGATCATATCTCCCCTAACTCTTCTGTCTTGTCTCGTGATGTTCCGTTCCAGTAATCTTTCCTCGTAGCTCATACCCCTCAACACGGGGACTAGCCTGGTGGTACACTTCTGAACATTTTCTAACTTCGTTTTGTGTTTGACTAGATATGGACTCCAAGCTGGAGCCGCATACTCCAGTATTGGTCTGACATATGAGGTATACAAGGTTCTGAATGATACCTTACACAAGTTTCTGAAGGCAGTTCTGATGTTTGCCAGCCTTGTATATGCTGCTGTTATCCTTTAGATGTGGGCATCAAGGAAAAGATATGGTGTGATATCATACCCAAATCTCTTTCTCCTCCTGACTCCAGAAGTATTTCCCTCCCAACTTGTACTTGTGTTTGGCCTCCTGCTCGCTACTCCTGTCTTCATCACTTTGCATTTGATCGAGTTTAACTTTAGTAGCCATTTATTGGACCATTCCTTCAGTCTGACCTGGTCATTATATAGCCTCTTGCCGTCCTCCTCTGTCTTAATCCTTCTCATAATTATCTTTCTCATCATCAGCAAACATTGAGAGAAATGAGTCTATACCTTCTGAAAGATCATTCACGTATATCAGAAACAGGATAGGTTTGAGTACAGAACACTGTGGGACTCTGCTGGTGACATCACGCCAGTCTGAGGTCATCACGCCCTTTGGGCTGGAAGGTATAGCGACTGTCTCGCAGCATGCAGGTCGGCGTTCAATTGCCGACTGTCCAAGTACTTGGGCACCATTCTTTCCCACTCTCCCATCCTAAATCTTTTTCCTGGTCCCTTCTAAATGCTATTAAGTCTTAATGTCTTGGCGCTTAGTCCTGATAATTTCCTTCCCCTCACTGTAAAACTCTGCTTCCTGTTGTTCAGGTACTCCCTTATCCACTGGAGCACCTTACCACTTTCTCCAGCCTGTTTCTCCCACTAATGCAAGTATCTTATCGGGGACTTTGTCTAAAACTTGCTGAGTCCAAGAAAATACATTCTGTTCACTTTTCTCTTTATTGCTTAATGCTTGTTGCCTGGTCATAGAATTATATTAAACTTGTAAGTTTGCATCCCTAAACTTGTACCATTTGCATCCCTAAAACCATGCTGGTGGTGCGTTAGAAAGTCCCTTCTCTCCAGATGTGCTTCCAGGCTTTTTTCTCAAGATCTTATCTGTCACCATGCATGGTATACAAGTTAAGGACACCGGGTTGTAGTTTAGGGCCTCCTTTCTATCACCCTTGTTTTATATTGGGATTTCGTTAGCTGTCTCCCATCTTTTTGGTAGGTCTCCTATTTCCAGCGAATTGTTTTACACCATAGTGTCATCCAAAGTGCTTCTGCCCCCCCCCCCCTCTTTCAGTATCCATGGTGAGATTCCATCCCGTCCAATTAACAGCCTTAATCACGTCTAGATCGAGCAGATACCTCCTAACCTAATCACTGGTAATTTTAATATCTTCCAAGGCTGCTTGTTTATCGCCACTCCTCTTAGTTCAGGAACTTTTCCTTGCTCTATTGTGAAGACCTCCTGGAATCTCTTGTCGAGTTCTCCACACACCTCTTTGTTTGTAACTATATAACCTGAGCTTGTAAAAGCCCCTTAATCACCTTCAATGATTAAGTGCTTAATTACACACTAGTTTCTCTATCAGCTATCTCACCTTGTCAGAGTAAAAGAGACAAATGTATGTGTATGCATGTGTGTGTATATATGTATGTATATATGTATATATATATATATATGTATATGTATGTATATGTGTGTGTGTGTGTATGTGTATAAAGTATATGGGGAAGCTGATCAGAATTACATTTCACCTTCGTAAATTCACAGTAATGACACTATGTAAAAGACACATCGAACACTTTATGTAGGGCATACGTAAATCTGTGTATCTATGTATTTACGTATGTAGGTTAGCTTAGCATTTTAAAAGCAACGAATCACCTTCTGTGGTTGATTGTTCAATAAATTCCTGAACTATATGTTTAACAAATCTCTAACCCCTTCCATGGAGGACTGAAGAAAATGTATATACGCTGGTTAGCATTGTAACTGTGTATGAAGTCAGCCTCCACCACATCACTGCCTAATGCATTACATGTTAACTACTCTGACGTTGAAAAAGTTGTTTCTAACTGTCCCCTGACTAACCTGGGTACTCTGTCTCCACCTGCTCCCCCCTCCTTCCTTCCTTGTGCTAGTACTACCCATGTTAAATAATCCGTCCTTATGTACCTGCCAATTCCCCTCAGAATTTTGTATGTGGTGATCATATCTCCCCGAGCTCTTCTGTGAGGTGAAGTTCATGAAGCCTTTCACCGTAACTCATGCGTCTTAGTTCTGGGACTAGTCTAATGGCATACCTTTGAATTTTCTCCAGCTTCATCGTGTGCTTGACAAGGCACGGGCTCCATGTTGGGGTCACATACTCCTAGAGCATTCCTGGAGTGTTTCTAAGGTTCTACTCCCCGAGCCCGATCTGAGGCCAGGCTCGACGTGTGATAACTTAGTCCAACAGAATGTTGCTTGGAACGACCCGCAGGCCTCCATATCCCCTACAGCCTGGTTGATCCAGCACTTCTTGTAAGAACCCATCCAACTGCCTCTTTAATACATCCACCTTTGTTCCGGCAGTATTTCTAATGCTTGCTGGGAGACTATTGAACAGCTGTGGACCTCTGATGTTCAGTGTTTTCTGATTGTGCCTATGGCACCTCTACCCCTCAATGGTTCTATTCGGCATTTCTTTCCGTGTCTTTCGGTCCAGTTTTTTTATATTCTATTGTGCAAATTTGGGACTTGGCCTTCAGGTATTTTCCATGTGTGTATTGATACCTTTATAGTCTCCTTTCCAGGAAGTACATTGTGAGAGCTTAGAGGCAGTCCCAATAATTTTGACGTTTTATCCTGTCTACTCGTGCTGTATATGGTTATTCCATCGAATTCAGAGATCTCTCCTGTTCTGAAAGGGGAAGTGAGAACCGAGTAATATTCAAGATCAGGACAGCACCTGTAATTTATATAGTATAAGCATTGCTGTGGGGACTCGATTTGAACGTTCTCATAATCCATCCTATCATTTTCCTGGCCGCCGCTATATTTGCTCGGTTATGTTCATTAAAATTCAGATCGTCAGACATCATAATTCCCAAATCTTTTACATGTTGCTTTCCTTCTTCGAGTAGATCTGATTGTGTCCTGTACCCTGTGTTTCGTTAAGTTCCTCGTTTACACCATACCTCAGTACCTGGAACTTATCACCGTTAAAAATCATGTTATTTTCAGTTGCCCAATCGAATAGTTAATTTAATCTTCCTGTAGGTTTTCAGTGTCTTTTACAGTGGCAATTTTCATGCTGATTATTTTAAAATCGGAAAAGGATGACACGAAGCAGGACTGGTCTTACATATGAGGTATACAAAATTCTGAATGATTCCTTACGCATGTTTCAAAAGGGCAGTTCTGATATTAGCCAGCCTCGCATACGACGCTGATGATATTCTTTTGATATGGGATTCAGGAGACAGGTTCTGGTAAATTCCCGCCATTCTGAGGCCTCGCCCCTCACAGTAACACTGTTACTTATTGCTTAGGTATTCCCTTATCCACTGGAGCACCCTACCAGTTAATCTCTACCTTGTAGAGAGCACCCTACCAGTTAAACCGAGAACAGGCAACATACGTTGCCTGTTTCTCCAACTTATGCACCTGCCTCTTATGGGGTGCTGTGTCAAAGGCTTTCCGTCAGTCCAAGAAAAGGCAGTGTGCTCTTCTATCTATTTCTTGCTTAATCTTTGTCACCTGATCATGGAATTCTATTAAACCTGCAAAGCAAGATTTACCCTCCC